GTTTAATTATCTTCTCTGTTACACAACTTGGATATTATTGCTGAATGGCATTTGTGTGGCCTACTAAAAAATTTTTTTTTAAATAGGCACGTTTTTTAAAAATACTGAATAATGTTTAAAAAAAACCCACACTAGAACCAAGAGAAATGTCTGTGCAATAGCCTTCTTCGATGCTGCTGTTTATACAGAGGAAAAGGCCCAGCTCTTCATCTGTTCCACGTTTCCTCTGCAGAGCGCAGTTCCAGCCAATCGCAACTCCCACTTTGGAACAGTCGTTTGGTTTGACCCAGATACACGGAGACACCGGGTGTTGGGTGGATGCAGTGTGCCCCACTGGTCAGCAGGGGAGGCTAGTGAGGTTTCAGAGATTGGTGAGGTTGATTTCAGTTCACCAGCAGGACATCTTCATACGTGGTTGTTCTGAGGGGAAAATAAGGTTTGATGATTTACTACAGTTAGGATGTTTAATATTATTATCTCTGTAATTACAGTTTCTCATGGTAATATTTACGGGACATATTTTAACAATTTCAACAAAAACAACACGATATTCACGGACGCATTTTTGACGTGATATGATGTAGAGTATTGTAAGAAAGCAACTTTCACCACAGCAGGAATGTTTGATTTAGCAGATTTTTGGTTTAAATATTTATTTTTACAGTGGTTATCATTCCCAAAAACTCCAAAGGCATCCGTGTCTCTTCCCAGGACTGAACCTGAACCGGGTTAGGTTGCGTGTTAGGTGATTAGGTAAACCACTGCACTATGTTATTTTAAAAAAAATCGAGCTGAAAACTGTATTATTTTTTTTAAAATTAAGGATAAAATATTGGTGTGTTCATAATCATGTATGCAACTTTACGTCTTTTTCAGTGCTGATCATTTTAAGGATTTTAAGGACCTAAATATGCTCCCTCTGCTGGCCAAACTAAGTATTTCTTTTAATGTTAAATGTGTGTTCAGGCTTTTTTAATGTCTTTAATTTGTGCCTTCTTATCTTGTTCCTGAGCTATAACCTATGAAGCAAAGGTTTATTCGTTGTGGAAGTGTTCATCTATAAAAGGAGGCACAAACCTGAAACACACACATATCAGGAGGAGGACTCTTAAACATTTAAACCCCCATCCCTGGGACTAAGATAATAAAAAAACAGTAGTTGGGATTTAACAAAGTAACTACTGTTTGCACTTGATTACCTCACCTCCTCTCTCTGTTCACATTGCATGGTTC